TGCACGTTGTCCATCTACAATATCAACCTACAAAGTTAAGATTTTCTCTAACTGGCTTCTTTTATCTACATAAAGATCCATAGGCCCTGTCATCTATGAGAAATCTAAACTGTAACTGCATTTTCAAAATCCACAGTTCTCAAACTGTGGTTTCCAGATCTACAGCAATAACAGGGAACTGGTTAGAAACGCAAACCTATGAAATCGGAAACTCTGGATGGGGATCTAGCAATCTGGCTTGATAAGCCCTCCAAGTGATTCTAACATATGCTAAACTTGGAGCACTACTTTTCATGTCTTCTGCCAGAAGGAAGGGCCTGGAAGAAAACTCAGTGACATAAATTTGTGGTGAAACCACTAAATTTGTGGTTATTTGTTACATCAGTAATAGGAAACTAAGTTGTTGACTCATTCATATAAATGCATGCCTAATAACCATTTCCTTTTAAATAAAAAAAAATCTATTTTTAAATAGCCCATAGTATGTTAGTCATAGGAATAACTGAAATAGTGATAATCAGTGCTGTGGTTAGTTAAATCCATTTATCTAAATGGTTGATTTCACAAAGCAGTTTAAAGGGATTCACTCTATTTTTCTCTTCAGTGACTCACCAAAAAAAGTGAGTGTCCCAAATTCGATTGTCATTTTTCTAGTGAATTAAAATAGTATGGTGAAATAAACCACCAATCACACTGTTCAATACAAAAAAAGTCATTCTAGGGAACACTGAGAAAAAAAAAAGCATGTTCTAATTTGTCTACATGAGAACCAATCACTGTATACAGCTTGACAAACGTAAAAATTTATCAACTCAACTATGCTTTCTATTTATATGAATACAATTTTCACTGAATAAAGAACTAATTAAAACTCTACAAAACATAATTCATATCAAATAAATGACCAGCACATTAATGGACACGTGCAGGATCAGATCTCAGTGGATGTGTTTTCAGTGTAAGATGCCAGTTGTCTGTTAGAACAGTGGCCTTCACAAAATGAAACAGGCAGATACCAGCGGAAGCACAAGGTGATCCCTGGAAGGGATTGCTTTTTTTAATCTTATTTTTTGTTTTTGTTTGTCTTTGTATGTGTTTTATACTGTACATATAGAAGAGCACAACAGTATATGTATATATATATAATTTATAAATAATCAAAATTTGCAGTGTATTCTCATTCTTTTCTGATAGTTACATGACTGAAAAAGTTTAGACTTTAATAAGAACCACCAAACCACTGCCTCTGCCACAGTGTTATGCCTGATTCTAGTCTAAATATGAACACCTAGCCCGGCTGGTGTGCCTCAGTGGATTGAGCTTCAACCTATGCACCAAGAGGTCACTAGTTTGATTCCCAGTCAGGGCACCTGCCTGGGTTGTGGGCTCGATCCCTGGTAGGGAGCCTGCAGGAGGCAGCTGATCAATGTTTCTCTCACATTGATGTTTCTATCTTTCCCTCTCCCTTCTTCTCTCTCTAAAAATCAATTAAAAAATAAAAATGAAGAAACTTAAAGATGAACACCTAAATGATTTAAACAAAAATTTCAAACTACTGCTAAACCCAAATTGCCATCAACTTTTTAAACAGGTTAGCCACACATAAAAAGTGTGTCAGATGCTTCAAAGTAGCATTGATTTTTTAAAAGCACATTATGAGGTAGACTTATACCAAAATATTCAGTGCATATATTAATAAAAGGTTTATTAAAACCTTAAAATTATATGTAGGTATGTATATAGATAATAAATTCATCTACAACTCTACATTCATCCTTTTGAAACACTCGAAACAATTCAATTGAAAAGGTAAAAGCCAACTGCATGCTTAGAAAGCTTTCCTACTTCTGAAATTAAGAACATTGGATCTGTTAAAAAAGTTTGTTGGGCCCTGGCCTGTGTGGCTCAGTGGTTAGAGTGTCAACCCACACACCAAGGGATCTCAGGTTTGATTCCCAGTCAAGGGCATGTACCTGGGTTGAAGGTTGATCCCTCATCCCAGCCAGGGCCCATGCTGGAGACAATCAATTGATGTGTCTCTCTCTTTTTTCTCCTCCCTCCCTCCCTTCTACTCTAAAAATCAATGGAAAAAATATCCTCAGGTGAGGATTTAAAAGAAGAAAAGTTTGTTGGAAGGGAGGTACTTCTGTTTTAATTTTAGATTTTGTAAGTTGTTTTACTAAATCATTCACTTACGGCTAGTTTTCAATGAATGTGAAAAAATAATGTAATTATTATTTTGTTTTCACCATATCAAAATGATAGTATCAAAGTCGGGCCAGCTACATAACTTACGAGCCCTGTGCAAAATAAAAATGTGAGCCCCTCGTTCAAAAAATTAAGAATTTCACAACAGCTTTAGCACAGCATTAAACCAAGCATGGGATCCTTCTCAGTGCAAGGCCCTATATCGCTGCACAGGTCACAGAGCCTTGCATCCAAGTCTATTTCAGCTGTAGCTATGGAATACTAAATTTTAGTTATCTTTGTCCCTTGAGTCCCTAGTACTGGACTAAGTATACAGTAGATTCAAATGTTTGTTGAATGAAAAACTGAGTCTTGCAGTTTTCCAGATCAATGAGAAATGCTTGGTTTTTCTGATGCATAGTGTGTTCACTAATGATAAATGGTGAATTCCTTTAGTACTGAATAATCTGCACATCACATTCTGGCTTCATGGGAACTTGAGGCCACATATGGTGAAGTTTCATTTGGTTCATTCAACAAACATTTATGGAGCAGCCCTGCTGGCCCAGTTTAGTTGTAAATGAATCCTGTACACCAAAAAGGTTGCCAGTTCAGTTACCGGTCAGGGCACATGCCTAGGTTTCCAGTTCAATCTCAAGTCAGCCCAACCATGTCTCTCTCTCTCCCCTTCTCCCTTTTTCTGTCTCTAAAAATCAATAAAAACATATTGAAAAGAAAATATTTATGGAGCAAATACTCTGTCAGATCCTGTACCAATCACTGAGGATACAAGAATAAATAAGGCCCGACCAGTGTGGCTCAGCGGTTGAGAATCAACCCATGCACCAAGAGGTCGCTGGTTCAAATCCCAGTCAGGGCACATGCCCAGGTTGTGGGCCCGGTCCCCGGTGGGGGGGGAGGGGCGTGCAGGAGGTGGCCAGTTGATGTTCTCTCTCATCCATGTTTCCATCTTTCTCTCTACCTTTCTCTCTAAAAATCAATAAAGAAAAAATATTTAAAAAAATAAATAAATAAATAAGATAGTGCCTACCCTCAGGGAGCTTATAGTCTAGCATAAGAACTTATAGCACCTCAGAGCACAGTGAGAAAACTTTCTGGTGTCTAGTATATTGTCTGAAACATTCTAAATTTCCTGAAAATGTGAATCTAAAATTTACCAGAAAGCACAGTTTGGAAACAGAAGATGCAATGGAACTTTTTTAAAATTAAAATACTCCATTTTTAATGTAAAAACCATGAAATCTAAATGAGAAAGAAACTTGGGAAAGCTGAAAATTCTATTTTTAAATACTTTGGACCAGATTTAAATTTTAAAAATTATTTTATTATCTCTGGGTGACATTTTCATTTAGTGACATTTATATACACATACATATAGGAGGTAAGTGTATGTGAGATGTGTTCCCTGGAGCTTTTGATAAAAACCCATATTTCTACTGCTAATTCATTTACAACTAAAGAGCAGAATACAGGTAAATATGACACTTTCCTTTTGATAATTTCCATTATCATTTAAATGGGAGAAACTCTTAGGAATCATCTTTAGGGTATAAATTTTGATACAATCGTATTCTACAATGAGACTAAACTGTGTCTTTGTAACAACATGTGATAATTTAAGCATATATTTTCATGGTCTTTGACAAAATGTAACGGCATCAGAAATACTCTTAAGTCTATTTGGATTTGATTTTCATTGTCCCCCCCCCCCCGCCCCGCATTCTTTTTTTTTTTTTTTTTTTCTTAAAAGCATGAAAGATCACTGTGTCAATAACAGAGCCTTTGTTGTTGCCCTGCTATTCTTTGGTACATTGCTATTTATTCCTTAATCCAGCAACACCCTTAGTTTATAGTACCATACTTAGTGGCAACTGAAAAAACTACTAGGCTAGGCTTTTACTGGAAACTTCTAGTATCCAGAAGGTTACTGTGAACCTGTCAGAAAGGTGGTAAGCAACCAAAGAGCTGTCTCAAAGACTGTGCGCCCAGAGCCTGTCCAGCGCTTTAAACACTAAGCAGGCTTGGTTATCTCATGTCCCAGTTCATAACAGATGAACACAACACATTAGAAGGAAGCGGGGAATCTGTAGCGGCAGGCATATTGATAGTGCGGAGGGAGACAGATAAAACTGCTTAGCAGATATAAAACATTAAGAAACAAAAACAAACAAACAAACACAAAAACACCAGCAATCTGAGGCAAATGGTTACATATACCTCAGGGCTAAGGGAATTACTTCATAACAATTGATATTAACTCATATTTGTTATAGCCCTTTACATTTTATGAATTATTTTATATACATTAGAGCTCACTGGATATTTGTAAGGATAAATGAATATAACATTTACTTTTCATCATGAAAAAGTGAATTATACTGAGCATGCTATTTAAGAAGGCAGGGAGGTATATTAACATATCTGAAGGACAAAAAATAATCACAAGTTTTAAATTTTGGCACTTAAGAGATATGCACTAGTTATCCAACAATTCATATATATGCTTTTCTTTATGACCAACACAGGGTATTAGTGAAATTTCATAGCTCTCTGTCACTGCTGGTCACTAAATGGGGATGATTGTCATCAGTAAGTTATCAAAATATTTTTCTTGCTAAACACAAGCTTAACAGATACTTATGGATGCCAATACCATATATTCTGACTAATTGGGAAACACTAGGCTTCTAAAAGATTCTCAGAATATTTTCCCTACCTTGCACTTTCTAGCAAACAAAACTTTAATACTAATGGTATAATGTAGTCTCGGTTTTAGATATAGGAGTGGGAAACGTGTGATTTACCTTTTCCTTGCTTGTTTTCCTAAAATTTTTGGTATATCTTCTTCTCAGAATGTAACAAGGAGAAATGTCAAAATATACATGTTCTTTGGGCTTCTGAGAAAAAAAACCACATACATTTTCCAAAGATTAAAATGGAGATCCCAATTGCTTTAGCACTTCATTTTCACACCTGAAAATAAGGAACTACTATGTATTTGATGTTCCTAAACTCATTCAACATAGCACTGTCAGAAATATACTGTTCTGCAGAAAGCTTTTTAAAACCAAAGTATAATTTATACTACACTTACCAATAATTATACTATATTACCAATTTTAATACATTTACCAATTATCATGAATAAAAATGACTAAAGAAAATCTAGAGTAAAAACCCCAGATTAGACTTTATACTCTAAGTGAAATGGGACCTTGTAAGATGTAATTTCCTCTAATAGTTTACCATTCCTGATGACTTTTAATTCCTTGACTACTATCCCCAATGACTTCTTGATAACAACCATACCTCAGAGAAAACAAGAGTTGTTTTGTTGAGTTTGCTGGCTGTTAATTTTTAAATCTCATCTGTGTTGTTCTATTTTTATAGCTACATATCCTGCTTGAGATTTTTTTAGTTAGGAATGGATTGTATTATGCTCTGCAGTTTAGAGTATTAATTCTAATGGAAATTGCCAATCTTGTAAATGTTCCTTTACATGGTGCAGAGGTAAGCCAGCTCTGTAATAAAGAACTTCCAGAGGATGCTAAACAAGTAAATTAACAGGCCAGTATTCCATCCTTTACAAACCAAAGGGCAGAATGGTAGGGCAATAAGCACAGGCTTTGTACTAAAACAGACAGACCTGGGTTTGAATCCCAGTGATGCCACCCAGCTCTGTGACTTAAGGCAAATCATTTAAACTTTATGACCCTGCATTTCCTCCTAAGTAAATTGGTGCTCATCCATCTACCTTGTAAGGTTTCTGTGAGGGTAAGTAGTAAAGTATGTACATTATTTGACATGTGACAGATACTCTATAGTGATTGAACAATCATGGACTGAAGTTTAGAGTTCGGCAACATGTGTGCCCAGCATTTGACATGGAACTCTCTCCAAAAGGAAGGCAATTTATGGAACCTTATTTTGATTATCAATATAATCATTGTACTTAGTAGCTTGTTTTTACTGTTAACAGTAGGTGTTTTTGCCTCCAAAACTTTATTTTAAATGTATTTTTTTAAATTTTATGGCAAACCTGTGTTTTCACTGTACTTTGTCATACTTTTTTAATGACTAAAACATTTCCAAATTTTAAACATCCATGTAAACTGATCTAATTTTAAAATTTTGTCCTAGAGCCAACATTCCAAGTGAGATGTAACCTTTATACATGTGTGTGAATGGCTGTCTGGTAGGCCTTACCAAAAAAAAAGTCATTTTTATTCATGGATTTGGGTTGCTTAAACATTTCTGTAAGATTTAAACTACTTTTCTTCTTATGGCTAGAATTCTCAGCATCTATTCCCATGCCTTCCTTTTTCAATCGCTTGGCCAGTTTAAGGGTATTCACAATAATACAACTTAAAGACAAAATAAAGTGTTCATAAGTCATTGTTTTAACAGACAGCATAATACAGTAGAAATTGCCCTGAGCAAGGAATTAGGAGACTTTGAACTTGAGTCCTGGTGCCATTAATTTTTCAGGATAACTTTAGACAAGTCAATTAACTTCTCTCATTCCTTAAAAAATGAGACTGATTCCATTTTATGTTATTTTCTACCTCTAAAATCGCTTTCATTTACTTATTTAAAAAATAATAATCAAAACACCTTTTGGGAGTTGTGTTAAGCACCTGATGGGTACAAAAGTGTTTACTGATGCTTAGGTAGTGTTTTACAAACAGTGTTCCAGGGGGCATCTGAATAAAGATTACTTGGTGTTCCTGTTACAAATAGATTCCTGTCCTCTCCCTGGCAGAATCAGAACCTCCTATGGTAGGGGCATTTTCTGTATTTTTCACAAGCTCCTCAATGATTATAATGTAACCTCATGTTTGAGAACCACTGGCCTAAAAGAATGTGATCAGGGAGGGAAAAGGCCAGCATGTGACTTAAATTACTCTAGCCTCTGGCAAATCCCTTCTGAACACCAAAGTGGAGGAGACTAGAGGAAAGCTGCTTACTTTCACAGAGAAGTCAGCCTTGAGCTTGAGCCCTGCTTGAGGCTTTTTACTTGCTGTGCTCCATAATAAAACACAACGAAAAGTCTTCATATCAGCTCTTAGTCTTGACATCCAAGTCACTGACTACCACAGTTATGCCAACAGCTTGAAGAAGACTGCAGCTCCCTCTCACTAATGCTAAGAGAGGTGACCTTGTGCCACCTGGCTCATGAAAGAAATATGACTAAAACACACATTTACTCTCGATCCCCCCTCCATCCCAATAGTGTAACATGTCATCCTGTGTGATTCAAATAGTCTGGCAGAGAAAACAGAATATCTGAGCCACATTGTTCTCATCACTCTGCGGTCAGATAGTGTACTAATACAATAAATAATCTTCTATACAATAGAAATGACCAAAGCCCATTCCTTCTTCCCTCTTCCTCCCTAATGCTGTTGACAGGAACAAAATACCAAGTAAGGACATGTGCTAGAGATTTTGAAAGTCATACGAGTAAAGTAAATTACAAAGAGAGGTGATAATATTTTTTCTAGAATTTCACAACAAAACCCTCTCATCTTGAAAAAATATGTATAATTTAACAGGAAGCTAAAAAGATATTTTGTTGCAAGACTATCTAACAGTTTTGAGAATAATGCCATTATCTGTGCTCATTATTGAGAAACATGACAGCAACTTTAAAAGGCCAAGTATACTGATAAGTGAAGATGAAATTTCTTTTTCAACAACCAGTATGCCAACATCAAACTTTTGGGTTTGGTTCTAGTGTTAAGGGTTATTCCTAACCTAATCAAAACTCCTGCCAAATGTTCACAAAATTCACACCAAAATCAAAAAAGAAAAAAGAAAGAAACTTGACAAGAGCTACCATGCAAAATGACCAGAAGAACTGTGGTTCAGTGGCACAGATTAGCAGGAGCTGAGGAATGCTGCAAAAGATGATGCTGCATAGAATCTAACTTGGTGATGCCCCTGTTATGCTGGATGACCAAGTCCTCAGGTCATAGGTGTGTTCATGGACCCACAAGAATCAGGATCTTGACCCAAACTTTTAAGATCTAAAAAGAAAATACTTCACCTAAATTGAAGTAATTTATATGTCAAACACCAGAAGAGTTGCTTATTTGTTGTAATTTGTGCCTAAAACTTTGGCTGGTACAAAGAAACCCGTCCACTAAGGCACCCTGAGGCAATCTGACAATGTGTTGGAGAGAACTTTGTTGTCAGTACAACATCATTATGAGAGTACAGAGAACGGATCACCCGCAGGGGACTGGCTTCTTTGGGCAAACAGTCAATAAGTTCACTGCACTGTTTGTCAAATCCCAACAAGCGAATCCCATAGCCATGTGGGGAAGAAACCATTCGCCCATCAGGGCTGAAGCAAAGTTCTTTGATATAGCCCCTGCCTACATTGGCTTCTTCAATGTAATGAGTCAGTCGTAGAGAGCAGCGAGGTGAGAGAGGTCGCACGGGAGCTCCTTCTTGGAATTCATAAACACAAGTCCACTAGGGAGAGAGGAGAGAGACAAACCAAAGTTATAGAGCCCCAAATAGTGCTACAGATATTCTTTAAATAAAAAAAATAAAATAAAATAAAATAAAAACTCAACAGAATCCACAACTCAACAACTCCACAGAATTGTTACAAGAAATCATTGAGATGAATGCTGTCCCTCTTCCAACTAACTTGCAGGCCTCATACCTGCTTATCTTCATAAACTAGGGGTATTCACAGAGCACTGTGACTTCTGTAGTAAAATTCCCTTTTCTGAGAGTAATAATATTGATATTTCAAAAATTCTAGGGTTAAGAATCCAAGCCCTAGAATACCTCTGCTATATACTTCAAAGGCTCTTCTCTCCTTTTTTTCAGTTGTGGATTCTAGAGCTAGTGAGATTCTTGGAGGACTCCTGATTTTCAGAGTGGTGAAAATCATAAGGTCATATAAGATCTTTTCCCCTAGTCTCAGTTTAGTTCCTTCATTTCCCCAGATTCCCCCTGGTTTTTAAAAAGAAAAAATTATTATACTCAATTGGCTTATCAAAGCCTCACATTTAGCCAGCATAGCTGAAACATCTCAGTCCCATGTTTACCATATAAAGGTTTTTTTTAATGATGAGATGGAGGAGAAAAGAATTAAAAAGCTGGCACAATCTGAGCTGATCATTGCTTTAAAGTACTTCCCAGCTTGCCACACCCAGGCCAGAGAGGAGGCAGAAGGGGTTTCAAGCGCACATGGCAACAGTAGTTTGTTAAATCGGGCCTGTTGCAGGTGGAGTGCTGCCGCTGTACCTCCTGATCATCAGTGTTGCTTGAGCACCGAAGAAGAGTGGCCCAGCCTTTGGGGTGCAGCTGTAAGGATGTAATGCAGTTTCCACGGTCTCTCTCACCAGGAACTTTAGGGGTTAAGACTTCAAGACTATTTCGTGGTGAAACACCTGAGATACAAGAAAATAAGAACGTGGAATTTGTTTTATCAAAGGACTAAGGCAGCTTATCAAAGCTTTGGTTTCTTGGGGTGGTGAACACAAAATACAATATACAGATGATGCATTATAGAACTGTACACCTGAAGCCTATATAATTTCATTAACCAATTCAAAAAAATATTAAAAAATTTTTTTAAATAAATTTTTAAAAAAGCTTTGATTTTGGTCCGTCGGCCCCCATGTCTTCATTCCTTTGTCTGCCTTATGTTACCACATGTAAAAAAAACAAACAAACCCATAGTACCTTCAATATGTGGAGTATGTGTCTTTGGGGTAAGGGTATGGGGAAAGGATATGACCAGAACTAAAGAATTCAAGTGCCTATAGCAGGAATCACCAATGACCTAAGGCTAAGGCATTAAAACTATGCAGGGGTCCTTTTGATTTGGATTACATCTCAGAAAGCTCTTCATTTAAGTAAAATCAAAGTTATGTGACATGAAAGGAATCTGGAAAAGTAAGTGATAACAATTCTCATCTCAGAGGACCTGGTGCAGAGAAGGAAATAATTGGAAGCCATGAAGACTGCCATTATATAAATAAAAAGCTATTATGTGTACCGGGAGTGTACTTATGGCTGCCAAGGACAGTACTATAAACAACAAATAGACCTATAATCTTGGAGGTAAGGGAGGTCACTTCAATGGAGGCATGTCAAAACAAGGGAGGGAGACATTGCCAATCCTACTCCTGGTACTCTGGTATGGCACATCATTTCCTTCTACCTAGCCCCAATGATAGTGACTGCTACAGTTAGCCGTTGTTATACTGGGAGTATGTTATATCCCTCAAGTATGTGGAGAACCACTTTTATAGACATTGTAAGAAAGCAGCTTAAAAATGTACTATAAAGAGAAATATTTCAGCACTTCTCTTCCTGTGGAAGGAGTTCCTTTGAAGATAATGAGCTCCCTCTGACAGACCCTTTGTGAATTGTTTCTTAAAAAGATGCATCTTCTTCTAAAAGATTCCCTTTAGATTACTACAGCACTGATTGAACCTCTGAAGCTCTAAATTACACTGTTAAAACCAAACTATACCTAAATAATGATTTCACATGTGATTAAACTTATAATTTTCGAGAAAAATAAACTCCTATTTCAAGAACTAATTTTGACAATCAGGAAAGAAACCCACTCTAAATAGCTAAGTAGTGGTTTCTAAGCAGTGCTCCTTGGAGGTTCCTCAAGAGCTGGCAAAAGGGGGGAACCACCTGGAGACCAAGGTAGGGATGGGGTGGGGAAGACTTAGGGTCAAGGGCTTCCCTAATTTCACTTGAACCAGAGTTACTCCACTTTTATTTGTGCTACATTCCTAAGAACCCACAGCAAATCTGATGTCAAAATAGAGTTTTAATCCTGAAATGAGTGTGAAAGCCTCTGCTCTGTACGGCTATCACATCTGCCAAAGTATGGTGCTAACATATTCTGACACCTGACAACCCTGAATTTCCAGCATTCAGGGCAACCTTTTCTCTAAGCCCCACGTCTCTCTTTCCACTCCCTAATTTTCTTGTTCTCTTTGCCCAGGGTCCCAATACATCATTTCTTCTCCCAGACGCAACTCTCCATAGCATAAAACTGTTATAAAGTTTTGTTTTGTGGTTTACCAATGTAACAAGCAAGCATGTGAACTATTGTTCTTAAATTAAGTTTCCTTTTTTTTTCTTGAATAGTTTAGTTAATCAATGAAGATTTTTCTCAATGACCATTAAGAATTGTGGCTTGTTTCCCCATGGCCAAAGAAGAACAGGTAGAATCTGCAAAAGGAGTTTCTGCTACAAATCAAAGGAGAAATGTTACACATCTGGGCATAAATCTCTAAATTTAAGAGGAAAAGTTTTTAACTTTAAAGTGAAACATCACAGTCTTCAACATCCAGAAGAAAATGAATAAACTATAGGTTAGGTTAGAAAGGGCTCTGAAACCATTCTACTCACCTAAGTAGTCATGCAAAATAATAAAGTATACATTTATCAAGCACTTAAAAGGTGAGACCACTCAGGGAAAACACAAATTACAAGTCTAATGTTTAATTCTTCCCATAAATATCTAGGTAGAAAACATGCTTATCAGCAAAAGGTGACCCCAAATTACAAAACAACCCATATCTGGTCATCAGTCTACAAAGAGGAGAAACAAAAAGTACTCTAAAAGTTTAGATGAAGTAATATTAGTTTGGAGAGGGACAGTAGGCAAAATTTGCACAGATAGAAAGCATTTTAATTAGAAGGTGGGAGGAATAGGCTAAGCAGCTAATTCTGCCAGACTGGCTGGGGAAAAACTGGTAAAAGTGGAGTGGGGCCAGACTGTAGCTCACTTTACCCCACCAGCCCTCTGAGTCTGTCAGACATTACTCAGGTAAGGAAATGACAGAGTAAAAAGCCTACTGGGCTGAAACCAGGTGACTTTCACAAGCACCTGATAAATGTATCCTCTTATATTTATACAGCACTGTCATATGCATAATCTCATTTAATTTCCATAATAATCTTGATTGGTATCTACATTTCTCAACTACTCCTCTCCAAACTACAAGCTAAGTCTAGGAAATAAAATCAAAGCTTAAATTCCATCAAAGATTTAAGCCCAAGATACTCAACCCTAGAGATTCTGTTTAGCTTTTTGAAAATGGTAACTGCGGGGCAAGGAACAGCCTCATGTCTACTGGCTAACTTTATGAATTAAAGCTAAACCAAAAAAAGCTATTTGGTAGAATCTATTGTTGCAGGATTATAAAATCCAACTTTTAACTTACCTTCTCTTTGCGAAGCTCTTGACATGTGTTTCTCAGAAGATGAATTAGAATCATTATGATGACAAGGTGAACCAGAAACTCTAGGACCAGATGAACTCGATGAAGTGGTCAGATCTTAAAAATACAAAAAGTTCTGACAATACACCTAACAAAACTCTGGTAATGTCTCTTAACTTTTTAATCATCTACTTGAACCATACTGTTAAAATCCATCTGAAACATAGCAAGTACATGTCCACTTAAAACTGGCTTATAGCCCTGGCCGGTTTGGCTCAGCAGTTAGAGCGTCAGCCTGTGGTCCAGAGAGACCCGGGTTCGGTTCCCGCTAAGGGCACGTACCTCGGTTGCAGTTTGTCCCCGGCCCTGGGTGGTCGTGCGGGTGGCAGCCACTCGATGTGTCCCTTTCACATCGATGTTTCTCTCTCTCTCTCTCTCTCTTCCTTTCTCTCCCTCCCACTCTATCTGAACAATAAATGAAAAATGTCCTCGGGTGAGGATTAAAACAAAAAACAAAAAACTGGCTTATAGCTCAGCTGGTGTGGTTCAGTGGATTGAGTGTCACCCCATGGACTGAGAGATCCCTGTTCCATTCCTGATCAGGGCACATGCCTGGGTTTCGGGCTCAATTCCCAGTAGGGGGTGTGCTAGAGGCAGCTGATAGATGTTTCTCTCTCACAAGGATATTTCTATCTCTCTCTCCCTTCCTCTTTCTCTGAAAAATCAATTTAAAAAAAACCTGGCTTATAATTAAGACTGAGGTAGGACAGCTCTTTGAAGTGTTCTAAGGCCCTTTATACCAATGATTAGCTTAAGTAAAATAAAAATTAAAAACCAAATAAACACAGGAGCATCTTTGGTTCCACATCATTTGTGGAAGGAAATAAAACAATAAAAATTTCAATAAGAATGAAAACTGAGCTGTTTAATGTTTAATGTTAGAATAGGATCCAAACAATAGGCTCATTACTGAGAACATGAACAGGTCCTTCTTAAAGCATACCAAAAATTTCTATTATCATTCTTGAAATTATGTGAATACAATCTTTGAAATGTAATACAAACTTTACATTGAAATCTATGGAAAATAAAACAAATATCAGATAGCTGAGTTTGATGTAGTACTCCAAATAGCAATCTCTATTTCATCACACTTTTTTAGTGGCCTGACACTTCTGTGAGGGCATCTTATTAATTTAGTTCACTTTGTTACCCTTAGAAGTCAGAAAACCTTCTTGGTTTTTGAATCAAAAAATGCCAACTAGGCCTCTAAATCACTACTTCTCAGAAAGCTAAAGTTGATTATTAATGTTTAACTGAAAAAAAATAAATAAATCTGAATCTAAAAGGATTATATCCCTTGGCTGCAAGTAAATTGGTAAAACTTAAATTTATGCTTTTAGCAGTGAAATTGGGCAACTGTAGTAGTACAATGAGGCCTGCACATTCCCAAAGGAGTCCTCAGAAATAGCCCTATGCACACAGGAGAAAGATTCTAACAATTTGAAGCTATTTTTTAATAGCAATTTATGAACATTACGTGTTCCAAATGGTTATGTTCCCATATCAGCCCTCTTTTTCCAAAGGTAGATGAAATAGTTTTATCACATAATGTAGATAACTTATAGTGCATCAATTTTTCTGAGCCCCAATTTCACTTAAGTTTAATGGAATCAGCAATAGGAGAAGGAACAGGACTTCAGCAAGAGGAAGTTTAGAAGTCATGAGATAAGATGGCACAGGCTACCTGTGTTTGGGCATTTGAAAGTCTAGGATACAATACAGACTTAAAACTAAAACTCCATGTTGACTATAAGTTAAAAGCTCTGCAAGAACTTAAAAAGATTAATATTACCTTAGACCATCATTAATTTTTTGAGATAGTGATTATTTAGAAATATTGATGAAAGATTTTCCAGCTAGCAGAGCTAAAAGGAAAATGTTTTTAGAGGTATTCTCAGATCATTTGTGATCAGAAGCATAAATTAATGCTATGTCAGAAATACATATTGATCATTATATTTCCTTGAGAAAAAAGCTCTCACTGAACTGTCCAAAGAATGTCTTTTAATTTTCTTCCTTTCTTCCTGCTATCATTCTCAGAATGGAAACATAACATCCCTATGTTTGCGATTCTTTGGAAAATTCTTCAAAAGAGAAAAGCTTACCTGAACTTGATGTAGTTCTTCTTGCTCTCAAAATGGGATAGCTGCCTACTTCTAAAGACTTGGTTAAGTCAAGATCATGCAAAATCAAGAGATATCCAGAGGACGTTGAGATCAACATTTTTGAACAATCTGGTGTTAATCTCATTCGCATGAGAAAACGGGTGTGAAAAAATTTCTTATGTGGACATCCATCCTCTGTACACCTACAGAAGAAATCAAACCAACAAAACCTAGAGTTATCATAAATATAAGAATTCGGTGATAGTCATATTTTTGCCCTTCAAACTAGAATTTATAGTCAATGTCAATGTACACATAGACTTACACATGCTTAATTTCTTTTGTTCGCTATTCACTCTTTCATCTCCAACTTTCATTTTTAGATTATTTTTTCTGAAGTATATATTTTTAAGACTTTGCTGAGGTAAACTTACTTTTTATTGTTTTGAAAATTTTTTTTTTCAGTCTTTTTCTTAATCTTTATTGTTGAAAGTATTATAGATGTTCCACCTTATTTCACCCTTCTTTTTGATTAAAGGTTTAACTGAGCATATAACTTTAGGTTGATAGGTTTTTTTTCTTTTAGTTTTTTTGTTTGTTTGTTTTTTGTTTTTTCTGATAGTTCTTTTTAAATATCGAGGATATTCCCACTGAATTCTGGCTTCCACTGTTGCTATTTTTTTTTTAAAGTGTTTTTATTGATTTTTTTTTTTTTTTTTTTTTTCTAGAGAAAGAGAGAGAAACATTGATCAGCTGCCTCCCACACACTCTCCACCAGGAATTGAGCCTGCAACCCGGGCATGTGCCCTGACAGGGAATCGAACTGGGACCGCTCCGTCCATGGAATGACACTCAATCCACTGAGCCACACTGGCAGGGTTCACTGTTGCTATTTTTAAGTCTATCAGTCTTATTGTTACTTTGCATAATTTATCTTTTTTTCCCTCTGGTTGATCTCTTTGTCTTTGGAGTACTGCGGTTTCACTCTGATATGTGTAAATTTGGATTTCTTTCTCTTTATTGGGATTCATCTGAGTTTCTAAATCTTAAAATTCATGTTATTCATATATTCTGGAAAATTCTCTATCATTATTCCAATAATGCCTCTCACCTATTTTCTCTATTCTTTTATGCTTCAATGTCTGAAACATTCACATTTGACTCTCATCTCATAACTGCTCCTTCATGTTTTCTATCTCCTCATTTCCATATGTTGCATTCTGGGTAATTTTTCAACATCATATTCCAACCTATTTTTTTAAAGCTGTGTCTAATCTGCTACTTTACCCATCCCATGTGTTTTTAAATGTCCATAGTGCTGGGTTTTTTTTACTTCTATTGGGCTCTTTTTCAAATTTGCCTGGTTTTCTGGATAGATTTTTATTCCTTGCCTATGTTTTTTATTCCTCCTTTTATTTACTTTTTTGGTTAATTATTTTTTAAATTGTGAACTATACCATATCTACAGAAAAGTACAAAAATAAAACATATGAAGAGTTTGGAGAAAAATGAACACCTGTGACTCATCACCCATGTTAAGAAGTAGAACAAGCCCTGGCCGGTTTGGTTCAGCGGTTAGAGCGTCGGCCTGCGGTCCGGTTCCCACGAAGGGCATGTACCTCGGTTGCAGTTTGTCCCCAGCCCTGGTTGGTCGTGCGGGTGGCAGCCACTCGATGCATCTCTTTCACGTCGATGTTTCTTTCTCTCTCTCTCTCTCTCTCTCTCTTTCTCTCTCTTCTTCTTCTTCTCTCTCCTTCCCACTCTATCTGTACAAAAAATGGAAAAATGTCCTCAGGTGAGGATAAAAAATAAATAAAAATTTAAAAAATGTAGAACAATACCAGTGCATTAAAACCCACCCCTCCCCCCACCCCTCCCCCCTCTCTTGCCCAGCTAGTGTGGCTCACTGGTTGAGCATGGACCCATGCACCAAGAGGTCACCGGTTCGATTCCTGGTCAGGGCACATGTCCAGGTTGTAGTCCGATCCCCAGTGGGGGGCATGCAGGAGGCGGCCAACTGATGTTCTCTCTCATTGATGTTTCTATCTCCCTCTCCCTTCCTTTCTAAAATCAATAAAGAAAAAATATTTTTTTTAAATGTCTTCTCTATTTCTCTGCTGTGTTGCATCCTTCAGTCAACATTCAACGCCTCAAGCATAAAATGTATTTTCCTCTCTGATATTAATAGGCTTTAAAAATTTTAAGTTTTCTTCTCCCTATGTAGCTTCTATTTCCTCCAAAATATCTCCCCATTTATGTTGGTGTTTATATTAGAAACTTTTCTCTGATTATCTTTAGCTGTCTGCTCATAATTAAGAGTGGGGAACTAAAAAGTTGACTGGGAACTCTGAGTGCTGGAACGAGCTTGAGCTTCACTATGTAGGGTGAAGCCATTTTTGAGGAACTCCTACTGTATCTTTGGTTCCTTAACTAGAAGAAGCTAAGGGTCTCTGAATTCAATATTCAGTGTGCATATGGTAGGTCAATCTCCCTGATTTTGGTAAGGTACCCAAGCCTTCAACTGAGAGAGTCTCTATTTTACCCTCTTTAGAGGATAAAATTTCAAACTTCTGAAATGGGGGCAGGTCAATCACCCAGTGATACGGATTAAGAAAAGAAATATACATTCTTAAATGTCTTTCATTTGAATCCTTACTTTAGCTACCCCTTCTATTACAAAGGACCCAGAGTTACCAGTCCCTCTGATTTTCTATAAGTTGTCTTAACTTTTCCCCACTGCCAGCTTAAGATTCAGCTTTCTTGCACTTACCAAGTCAAGTTGTTAAAGTAAGCTGGTTAAGTCAGTTTTCACTCATCTACCTACTTTCCAGATTTAAAAATTTTATTGTCATTGCTTCATTTCCTATTTCCTCTCCTTTATGAGTTTACATGCTTTATTTTTAAATTTGCTTATTGTAGTTTGAGAGGCATCTTCCATTCCGTAGATTTTATTTACGTCTTGCAATGACTTACGTGAAAATTTATAATTTTCTCCATATAAGTTACACAAATGTTCTGTTATAACTTATTCCTGTGTACCAACTGAAATTTTAATTATTAAAAACTATATACTTAAAAAAAATTAAATTATTTGTTGTGATTAGGTACACTACCAATTTTTACATTTTGATCTTATCTCTTGATGATCAATCTCTCTTTGATCAATCTTGATGAACTCTTATTAATTCTGATAATTTATCAGCAGAATTTCTAGGGTTTTCTATATAGATCAGGGATCAGAAAAACTGGTCTATGGACCAACTCTGGACTACTGCCAGTTTTTATATAGAAAGTTTGTTGGAACACAGCCACTCCTATTCATGTATTATCTATGGCTGCTCAGAGACCATATAGCACACAAAGCCGCAAATATTTATTACACAGTCTTTTATAGAAACTGTTTGTCAACCTCTGATATAGACAATCACATCATGTATGAATGCTACTGTTTCCTTTTCAATCCTTATATATTTCTTTTATTGCATCAATTAGGACCCTGCTACCCTCCACCCCAAAACAATGGTGAACAATAGTAGTAATAGTAGGCATGTTTCTCCTTTCTGAAAAAGAGAAAACTTCTAAAGTTTCACTATTTTAAAATGTGCTATATGTTTTAGTGTATATGTCTCATGAGTTGCCTTCTATTTCTAGTTAATTAACAGGTTTTTTTGACAGCTTTATTGAGGTACAATTTATATAACATAAAATTCACTTATTTTAAGTTTACAATTAAGTGATGTTTAGTAAATTTACAGTGGTGTGATCACCAACACAATCCAATGTTAAAACACGTTCATCACCCTAAAAATATCCTTCCTGCCCATTAGCAGTCACTCCCTGTCCCTACTCCCAACCATAGGCAACCACTAATCTACTTTCTATCTCTACAGACTTGCCTATTGTGGACATTTCATATATTAAAAAAAAAAAAAATCATACAGTAATGGTTTTTTTGTTTGGCTTTATTCCCTTAGCTTAAGTTTTTTGAGGCCCATGCATGTTATAATACATTTTACTTTTTTGTTCTATTTCATTACCAAATAGTATTCTCTCATATAGATATACAGCTTGCTTATCCATTTACCAGTTGATAGATATTTTGATTGGTTCCTTTTTTTTGGTGGCTATTATGAATACTACTATTATCAGCATTCATGTACAGTCTTTGTATGGATATGTGTGTTTATTTCTCTCAGGTAGATATCTAGTAGAATTGCTGGGTCATATGGTAACTCTGTGTTTAATATTTTAAGGATCTGCTGAACTATTTTCTTATCTTTTTTTAAAATCCTCAACCAAGGATATATTTTTCCATTTATCTTCAGATAGAGTGAGAGGGAGGGAAAAGAGAGAGAGGGAGGGAAAGAGAAACATCGACGTGAGAGAGACACATCCTGACCAGGGCTGTGGACCGAATGGCAACCAAGGTACATGTCCTTTACCTGAATCAAACCTGCGACTCTTTGGTCCCCGGGCCAACGCTCTAACTGCTGAGCCAAAAAGCCAGGGCTGCTGAACTGTTCTCTAAAATGGCTGTCCCATTTTACAGCCTACAGTAATGTATGACATTCCAGTTTCTTCGTATTCTTGCAATACTTGTTATTGTGTTTCTATTAAAGCCATCTTAGTGGGTGTGAAGTGGTGTCTCAGTTGGGTTTGACTTGCATTTCCCTTATGACTAACGACACTGAACATCTTTTCAAGTGCTTATTAATCATTTGCATATCTCTCCTGGTAAAATGTCTATGCAAATATTTTGCCCATTTTTATTTTTTATTTTATTTTATTTATTTATTATCCTCACCCAAGGACATTTTTCCATTTTTTGTTCAGGTAGAGTAGGAGGGGGAGAGAGGAACAGAAGAGAGAGAAACATCGATGTGAAAGGAACACATCGAGTGGCTGCCACCCGCACGACTGACCAGAGCCGGGGACAAACTGCAACCGAGGTACATGCCCTTAGCGGGAACCGAACCTGGGTCTCTCAGGACCGCAGGCCAACGCTCTAACCGCTGAGCCAAACCGGCCAGGGCTGCCCATTTTTATTTTTAATATGTTTTTATTGATTTATCTAGAGAGAGAGGAAGGGGAGAGATAGAAACATCAATGAGAGAAATACATCGACTGACTGCCTCCTGTAATGGGGATTGAGCCTGCAACCCAGGTATGTGCCCTGACTGGGAATCGAACCAGTAACCTCTTG